TACCTCAACTTAGATTAACTAAAGGATATGGAAATCTACAAGCCCCTTACAAGACCCTTCACAAAACCTGCAAAACCTGGCAAAAAAAAACCTTCAACCAAAAGAGAAAAGGCTTCAAAAAGCTGTTAGTTAAGGCACTTAAACTAAGTTACGAGAATACAGAATCCCCATAAATTATTTACAATACATCCCCATTATGGTAACTTAAAGAAAGCTCCCTAAACCCTAAACCCTAAACCCCCAAACCCTAAACCCTAAACCCCTAAACCCCTAAACCATAAACCCCTAAACCCCTAAAGCCAGTTGCAGGTCGGTCCTAAGGAGTGCTAGGATGGTGGAGCTGGCACTGACCAAGACCCACTGCCAGGTCCACATGGGTACCTCGCGGAATGTAAGGATCGAGGTTTAGGGTTTAGGGTTCAGGGTTTGGGGTTTTGGGTTTAGGGTTTTGGGTTTAGGGTTCAGGGTTTAGGGTTTTGGGTTAAGTTTTAGGGTTCAGGGTTTGGGGTTTTGGGTTTTGGGTTTTGGGTTTAGGGTTTAGGGTGGTAGGGAGGTAATGTGGGAGCCTTAAATAATGAGAACAGGGTTTTGGGGTATATTATGCCACGATTATAATAAGGAACCTTCAAAAAAATATGATAAGTAACACTTAAGGAGCCTATATTATAGGAAAGAGATCAACAAAATCCCTGAAACTGGATCTGGGCGTGGTAGGCAGGTATAGGGAAGTGTAGACTAAAAAACCTTAAGCCCACATCCCGACTCCGACGTCCCCAAGCCTGATCCTTGTTTTGATGAAGATTTTGTGAAGGGTCTGGTGAGGGTCTTGTGAGACTCAAGGCTTAGGGCCTCTTTCCAGATTTAAGCGTAGGGTTCAGGACAGTTCAGGAAGTAGCTTATAGGCTTGTGGAGTCTAAAAGGGTTTCGACTTCGGCTGCAAGCTTTGATTTATGATCCAGCACAGTTTAAGGTTTAGGGTTTTAGGGCTCAGGGTTTGTTGAACGTGGGGTTTAGGGTTTAGCGACGGCTCTGATGGATATTGCAAGGATTCGAGGCTTGCCGTCTGTTCGTGGACGGATCGAATTTAGGGGTTCCCTTTTGGGGTCCTTTCTTTATAAGGGTGCCGTACTCTGTTGGGTACCTAAAAAAGGGACCCTAATTTAGAGAACTCCCCATGTGCAAGACTGACAACTCTGGGTTTGGGTCCGCACTGGCATCACGAAGAATTGGGGTTTAGGGTTTAGGGCTTGGGGCTTAGGGTTCAGGGTTTAGGGTTTAGGGTCTGGGGCTAGGATTCGATTTTGATGGGAATAATTTTTCGACTAGATACCATAGTAGAACTGTGTAGCTATACAGGACCTGTAAAGGTATGTTGCTACTGACGGTTCAGAGCTGTGCAGAAGGGTCAAGTTGCAAAGCCAAACCCAGCTCATGTTCAGCTTCTGTTTACTGGGCTTTCGGCAGCATCTCGCGTTAGGGTTTAGGGCTTAGGGTCTAGGGCTTAAGGTTGCGGATTTACAGGAAGCATATGCTGCACATAAGACACAGCTCAGATTCCTTCTTAAGCGCATGAAGTGACTCTCAACCCCTAAACCGGATTCAACAGCAGCCCAGCTACCGGGCAAGAGCTGCTTCCCATGACCTGGAGCCAGGGAAAGTTTCGGGGAATCGATCTCGCTAGGCATCACGGATCTAGGGTTAAGGCGTTCCTGACGTACGCTTCAAGGGCTCTAGCTTTAAGGATCTAAGGCTTCAGACATTGCTTCGGTTTAGGGGTTTAGGCTTTAAGGGGCGTTCATTCTGAAGGGTAATAGCTCTAAGGGCTTGAGGTTGGGTGAGGGTTCAGGTGTTGCGTTTTGGGGTTTGGGGGCCTGGGGCTTTGGGAGCCCGGGGCTTATTAGGCCTTAGGGTTTACGACATATTTGGGACTTAGGGTTGTTTCGTTTTAAGGGCCTGTTTCGTCGCTTGCACTCCGAAGCCCGTGTTGGGCAGGCTTGGACTCACTAGAGTTTTAGGCCTTAGGGCTTGGGGTTTAGGACTCGAGGTGTTAGGTTGAGAGCTTCGCCTTAAGGCGATCTAGTTGCTCACTCCACTAATCCTACACAGTTGCGCAAACCCTAAGCCGCGAAATCTAAATCTAGCCCTGAACGATGAAACCTGAGCCAAAAGCTCAAACCCTTGAGGCCTAAACCCCGACCCCTAAACCGAAAACCCAGAAAACCTAAAGCCTAAACCCAAAAACCGCATCTCCAAGAGAGCCCAGTCACCTCGGCGACAGCTCTCACCTCCTGGCAGCTGGTGCACGCTAGGGGTTAAGGGTTTAGGGGGTGAGGGTTTAGCGTTTGGGGTTTAGGGTTTTGGGTTTTGGTTTAGGGTTTAGGGGCTGAGGTTAGGGAACCCTAATCCGTAAACTGCCGAAACCACGTCAAGAACCCATAAGAAAGCCCTGTGCAACATTATAGAACCCTTTGGAGACCTCGGCAAAGCCTAAGCACCTGTTAGACCCTCTAAAACCTCATCAAAACTGCATACCCTACAAGACACGATAAAGCCCCATAAGACCGTGGTAGGGTGTAGACAACCATAGAAAACGCCACACGAAGAATGGTGAAATCCGTAAGAAACCCGGATAACAACCCGATGAGAATCGCAGAAAACCGTATAAACAACTGTAAACGCGCCTTCTGGGCGCAGCGATGCTGCTATCATCGTTGCGGCCACTGCGGTTTGCACGACTGTTCTGATCATCGTGCTCGCATTTCATGGCCGCCGACACCGTCGTCGTAACAGGGCTGTTGGTGTTGCTGCGGCTCTGTGCTACCACTGCACAGTGACTTTGCAGCTGTCGATATGGCTATTGCTATCCACATTGTCATCGGCTGTCTGTGCTATTAGAGTTGCCGATATTTGTCTCACATTTCTTGCTATTACCATGATGCTTATGCTTTTGATGTCATCACCGTCGCCACCATCAGTGTTGCCATGGCTGATAACTTTAGCATGCTGCCATGACTGATTCATTCTCAGATTCATTCTCATTAGAACCCATCGTCCCGACAACTCCCGAAACCCCCAAACCTAAACCCTAAACTCTTAAACTTGTTAGTAGCCCTAAACCCTAAACCCTAAACCCCTAAAGCCTGTAGGCGCATCGCCATCCTTCCAACAAACCTGCATCATCAACCCAAGACCCTAAAAAACCCTGGCCCGAAACATGAAAAAACTAAACCTACATGCCTAAACCCTAAACCCCAAACCCTAAACACTAAAAGGAGAGCTCGAATCCTAAACCTGGGTTTAGAGTTTAGGGTTCAGGGCTTAGGGTTTAGGGTTTAGGGTTGAAACCTGAGAACCCTGGCCAGTCCTGGCTGGCCGTGGACAGAGCCTCATTCGACCGCCAGGGCACAGTCAGCGCCACACGGGGCCATGGCTCCATGCCAACCTGCAGCGAGGGCTCTATAGACAATTTTGGGAGGCCTCCCTAAACCCTAAACCCTAAACCCCAAACCTTTACTGCGTTCCATGAACTTTGTCGCGTTTAGGATGCACGGCGCTTGACATAAGATTGCTGACAACGATATGGATTTGGGGTTAAGGGTGCGGGGTTTAGGGTTGAGGGCTTTACAGTTGGCAAGCTCGTTAAAAAGGAAACTGCAAAATTGTACAAAACTCACAGCCGCTGCAATGAAACGCTCAGAAAGGCCTAGCAGGTGCTTTCTGGCTATTGCATGGCAGTGAAAGATTATCATGACGGCATACTTGCTGCACTACGGTTACCTAAAGAAAAAATTGCGAAATCGGCTTTGGGTCGAGGCTTCTGGGTTCGGGGCCTGGGTAGAGAAGCCTCCAGGAGGAGTCCCCGATACGATTTGGAATTAGAGTTTTGGGTTTAGGGTTTAGGGTTTCTGGCCCATGAAAGAAGCCCCAAAACCCTGAACCCCAAACCTTAAGCACAAACCGCAGAAACCGCTACCTCTAAACCCTAAACCCTAAGCCCTAAACTCTAAACCCAAAGCCCTGGCCTAAAACGCAAAGCCCTAGAGACCAAACACTGAAACCTTAAATCCTAAACCCTAAACCCTGAGCCCCAAACCCAAAACCCTAAACCCGAAAGCCCTAAACCCTATTATACTTATTAGAGCCCCTGAAATTAGGGATCTCAACCCTGAGAGGCACTAAGGGGGCCGCATTAAGGCCCCTGAAATTCGGGATCTCAACCCTAAGCAACACTAAGGGGGCCTAGGCCTCAGCTTTGAATCCCCCCCCGGCCTTGACTGACCAGTAGGCTTCAGACCATTCCTCGCCCGGTCCTGGCCGCCGGACCTTTGCTGTCCAGGGCTTGTAGGTTGAAGGCTTCGGGTTTACGGCTGAGGGCTTGGAGTTCAGGGTTTAGGGTTTTGTTTGGGGTTTAGGGTTTAGAGATGAGGGCTGAGGGTTTTGGGTTTCGGTTTTGGGTTTTCTAGATTCTCTGGTTCGAACGCAGGCGGGCTATGTAAACTTATGTGAACCAGCAACTTGAGCTTTCAGTTCCAAGGGGAGGTCACGCAGTCGAAGTCTAAAGCTTCTAAAGCTGGCCAACTAGGGTTCCTCTAAAGGGGGCCCTTTAAAGTAAAGGGTTCTATACAAGGGATCTGTTATATTATAGGGGCCTTAATGGTTAGAAGAGGGTTTTGGGGGTGATTATAGTATAGTTAAACCAGGGAATCCTAGGGAATTCTCTTGGTAATTGCATAAGCTCCTACTACCCTAGCCCTGCACCTAAATGCCGCAAGCCCATCCCCAAATCCTAAACGCCTGAAACACTCCAAATCCGACGAAAAGCCCAGAACCTGAAACCCGCCCGCCCCGTCCGCCCCGCCACCCCACTTTCGTCTTCTTCCCTAAACCCCTAAACCCCTAAAGCTAATCCCGACCCCCTAAACCCTGAACCCTAAACCCTAAACCACAAACCCCTAAACCCTAAAGCCTAAACCCAAAGCCTAATCCCGACACCAAGCAACATGCACGCGGAAGGTGTACGTGTCTTCCTCCAGCTCCCCGGCCTTCTCAGCTTTTTCTTTCAGGCGATGCTTAATGGGGCTTGCAAGGTGGTATAGGCTAAGGGTTTACGGTTTAGGGTTTAGGGTTTGGGGGCTCCTGGTATCTCTAGTCTGAGTTCTAGAGGTTAAATTCCAGGATGGGGTTTCTGGGCTTGTTGAAGGGTTGTTCAGGCTTGCGAGTCCCGCGTCAGAGCTAAACCCTCAAACCCTAAACCCTAAACCCTAAAACCCTAATCCCTAAAACCGAAAAACCCTAAAGGGCTTCGGGTTGAGGGCCTTAAACCCTGACGCCGGCAAGCCCTGACCTCAAAACATGGCCAAGACGTTCCCGCGAAAGCCACGAAAAGACCTACCGGGACAGTTTAGGATACCTACAGAACCCCGGACAACCCTATACAACTCAATCCGTTCCGACAATGAAAACGACATAGAACCCCACAGAACCCGCAAGCTGGGAAAGAGCGTTACAAAACCCTGCTAATGTACAAACCTTACAGCCTTTGAAGTGCATAGACCCTAAACCCTACATGTCGCCGGAAAGACCTACCTTTTTAAGGAAGTATGTATAGAAACCATGATACGGAAACCTAAAAAGGTCAGTCTTTTCGGCTACAGGTAGACCCTCAACCGTAAACCCTAGACCCTAAACCCTAGGCCCTAAACCCTAGACCCTAAACTCAGACCCTAAACCCTAGACCCTAAACCCTAAACCCAGCGAACCTCCGACCCTAATCCCCAAACTGAAACCTAAAACGGCCTGAACTCTCAGCTCGGGCCCTGCCCAATGGGCCAAGCGCGGCAGGCAGCGCTCTGCATAGTGGGCTTCGCTTTCCTGGGCTTCTTCGGTTCAGGGTTTAGGGTTCAGGGATTAGGGTTTAGTGTTTTGGTGCCGTTCAAGGACGTTTCAATAAGTAAGGGCCCCAGAATAGATCCTGAACAGTAGGCTCCCTACTAAGAACATTTCCAAAAAGGGAACAATGCCTCACTAATAGTTGGATCTTCCGGCTGTGACGCCGCAGTTTTAACACCCTAAACCCTAACCCCTAGACCTTAAACCCGAAACCCTGAAGCCTAAACCCTAAACATACCTCAGGTAGAACGCTGATCCGTCACGGGCCGCAGCAACCACCCAGGCCCAACGGGCCAGGGTTGAGAGTTCAAGAGCTACGGCTTAGGGCTGCTACGATTCGGGTTTCAGAGGATTCAGAGTGTAGGGTTTAGGGGTTTAGGGGTTTAGTAAGGGTTTAGGATTTAGGGGTTTAGGGCTAAGGGATTAGGGGTTTAGGGTTTAGGTTTAGGATTTAGGGGTCTAGGGCTAAGAGATTAGTGGTTTAGGGTTTAGGGGTTTAGGGGTTTAGGGTTTAAGGTTTAATAGTGGCTTTCGCCAACCCCTTTGCCTGGCTCCTCCAAGGGACACTCATGGATACTCCGAAACTACTATTACTAAAATAGAGCTACAGCCCCGGACGAAGAATCCTCAATGAAGGGGATCCTGGGACGTACCTCAATACATCCCGAAGACCCGGCGACCTCGAGATGCGTCCGAGGGACATGGACGGTTTGCACGTGCGAACGAAGGGCTGTGGTACCCTGAAGTCCGAGACGGCATCCCCAAGCATCAAAACCCCGAAGTACTACTTAGGGTTTAGGCTTTAGGCTTTCGGGTTTAGGGTTACAGTATGAATGCCTTCAGTGTAACCCTTTGTGTCTCCGACGACCCCAACTTCCACCCCGACCACTTTGGATCTTTCGCCGGCACCCTTTTTGCCTTGAAAACAAAAAAGGAAAGCCAAGAAACATACTAACAAGAAAGCCCTAAACTTCCTAAACCCTAAAAGGCCCTACTATCGGCCTATCATAGTAGCTCTGGGGCTTCGGGTTTAGGGGCCCTTCTAGCAACCCGCGATAGCAGATACAAAGACAGCTCTTTATCTCCCAGTCTCGTTCATCTCCGCCATGTCGCCGACCAGGCAGGACCAGGCGTACTCGAAGGGCGGCCCCTCACCCGGCCCCCGAGAAGCCATCGAAGCAACCTTCAAAGGGAGGGAAGGGCTTCTTAGAACTTAGGGTTTAGGGTTTAGGGTTTAGGGTTCTGTCAGGGCGTTCAAGGGATTGATATGGTTTTATGTCATGGTTTTCTACAGGGTTTTACAGGCTCTGGCATGGCTTTACAAAGAGTGTTACGGCTTGGGGTTGGGGTTTTCGGCTAGGTGTGATTCGGGCTTTATTGAGGGTCGTCTGCGGAGTTTTACGAGGTTGTACAGAGATTTGTGAAGGCTCTGTTGCAGTTGGATTACGGTTTTGTTCTGCAGTATAGGGTTTTATTCGGGTCCTTTCAACAACTCCCACCTCGCATCCCGACTCTCAACCCTAAACCCTCCCTCAAAAGCAAAACCCGAACCCTTGTAGTATCCCTTTAAAGGAACCCTAAACCTCAAACCCATATTAGTATAGTATCCCTTTGAAGGAATCCCAAACCCTAAATCCTCCCAAGGCCGGACCCCCAGGCTCAGCCCCCCCGCCAGCCCAAATCCTGAACCTTATAGGTCCCTAAAGGTTTAGGGTTTAGGGTTTAGGGGTTTAGGGTTTAGGGTTTAGGGTACTAAAACCCTCTGAACCCCCTAACGCCAAAACCAAAATGCACGAACGGCCCAAGCCCCGAAGCCCAAGCCCGTAACCCTCAAACCCTAAAGCCCTATACAACAACCCTAAAAGCTAAACCCTAAACCCTAAACCCCTAAACCCCTAAACCCCAAACCCTCTATTCTAAAAAATCCCAAAGCCTAATAAAGCCCGAGGCCCTGGCCTCCCATGCCTCCGCCCTGAGGGCAAAGGCGCAGGATGCGGAGGCCGCGGGCGGGCCGATCACGGAGACCATGGGCCTCTGACTCTATAGGTCTTTATGGGCTGTTTCACAGGTTTTTGTCAAGAGTTATCGGGTTTTCACAGAATTTTTGTCAAGAGTTCTGGAGAGTTATCGGGTTTCATGCACGGAGGATTTGAAGGGCGTTAGCTTTTGTGAGGAGTCTAATGGATGGAGTTTATAAGTTCATGCGCCTGTAACTCCAGGGATGTTAAAAGCGCGGAGGGTTCAGAGGTGTAACTGTTTATATCTCACCAACATATACGATATGCGCTTCTTATTAGATTTCTTTAGGGGCATTTAACGGAGTTTTGAGCGCGATACTGGGGATTCAGACATAAGGACTCTACCATTGCACGGCCTTTGCAAAGTTAGGCACTAAACCCTAAACCCTATGCCTATACCCTAAACCCAAAAACCTGCGAACCCTACCCTGCTTGAACAATGTCTTGAAGGATCCGGGCATGTAGGAACCTGATCAAGAACCCCTCATTCTCAGTCGTGATATCTTGATCAGGATCCAACTCATACTCAGATTTTGCTACACCAAGCCTTGACAGCCGCCGACCCCCAAACCCTAAACCCTAAATCCCTGCACCCTGGAAGAACGCCGCTTTGGGGGTTGAGGGTTCCAGTGTTTAGGGTTTAGGGTTAGAAGAACCTCATAAAACGATAAAGCCTCCTTTTCGCCGCCCTCGAACCCAAGCCTTACCTTAGGTGGCATACCGACCTGGAGCGCGGCAGGACGTTCAGCGTGTAGGTCACCGTGGACCGGTTGCTGAAGTCCTCCAGATCCTTGTGGGATGGCTACGGAGGTTTTGTAAGGGTAACTTCAGGCTTATAGGGATGTATACGGGTAATAAATTGAGAACACCTTTTAGACGGGGTAAACCCTAAGCCCTTAACCCTAAACCCTAAACCCTAGGCCCTAAACCCTAAACCCAAAACCGAAACCCTAAACCCTAAAACCCTAAAACCCCTAAACCCCTAAACCACTAAACCCCTCAACCCTCAACCTCAGAAGCCTTAAAGCCTCAACCCCAAAAAGCCTCCATCCACCCCGAAAGATAGAAGCAGCCCTACAGCGCCCTACGCCCTGATGGTATCCCACTATAATCACGCTTATAGAAGTTGCTTAGGGTTTAGGGTTTAGGGCTTTAGGGTTTAGGGTCTAGGGGTCTAGGGTTTTAGGGTTTAAAGCTTAGGGTCTAGGGTCTAGGGTTTTAGGGTTTAAAGCTTAGGGTCTAGGGTTTGGGGCCTACCCCGAAGGCTCCAAAGCCCCTAAAAAGGCCTCGCGAAAGGCGGCGGCCCGGAACCTGGGCTTCTTCTCTGAACAAAAGGACGGGGGGTTCTTGTTAAGGGAACGGTTTAGGGTTTTAGGGTTTAGGGTTTAGGGTTTCGGGTTTAGGGTTTAGGGTTAACGGATTTAATTTGGGTTACAACCCCTTGGCAAGAAGGTGTCGGACAAGTTGCTTAGGGCTTCGGGCTTTAGGGTTTAGGGATTAGGGTTTTAGGGCTTTGGGGTTTAGGGTTTTAGGATTTAGGGTTTAGGGTGTAAGGGTTTAGGGTTTTAGGGTTTAGGGTCACCCTCAACCCCAAAACTCAGACCCCGAACCCTCCAACCCTGACGGGCCGAGGAGCTGATGGCTGGAGTTGGGAGGTTTAGGGTATATAAGGCTTCTACAAGGCTTCTATAAAGTATATAGACCCTAAAACCTAAACCTTAAACCCTAAACCCTAATGTAGACCTTCTACAAGGTATATAGACCCTAAACCCTAAACCCTAAACCCTAGACCTTCTATAAGGCTCCTATAACGGTAGCTACCCACCTGAAAATGTCCGAGGCGCTGATGGCTGGAGTTGGGTGCTAAGCATAGGAGAGCCTAATACCCCTTAAATAAGGAATACACCTTAAAGCATAGGGGCCTTAATATTACGACTTAAGGTCTATTCCTTAATTAAGGGGTATTGGGCTCTCCGATATCGGAGGCCTCAAAAGGTGGGGTGAAGGTAGGTAGGACTAAGGACCCCTTATATGAGGACTATTATTTGGGAATATCCCACCTACCTTCATCCCACTCCTATAACGGTAACCCTAAACCCAAACCCCAAATCCTAAACCCCTAAACCCTAAACCCCTAAACCAAATGTCCGAGGGGCTGATGGCTCGAGTTGGGCGGCAAGGCGTAGGCCGGGAAGCGCAGGGCGCTCGGATCCCGGGCGCGGTTGGCGAAGCGCAGGTTCTCCAGGGGCTGCCTTTGTTGGGGGCTCCTTTAAGGGTTCCTTTAAGGGTTCCTTTAAGGGTTCCGTTTGAAGGATTTTCAAGGAATCCTGTGAGGGTTTAGGGTTTAGGGAACTTAGTGGGTGCGGGGTTGGCGGTTGGTGTGGGGGCCGGAATACTCAGAGCAGCTGCAAGGAATCATCTGGTCGTTATCCAGTGGCCCTAGCCCTAAACATTAAACTCCAAACCCCTAAACCCTGAACCCTAAACCCTAAACCCCTAAACCCCTAAACCCCTAAACCCTAAACCCTAAACCAAAGACCCCTAAACCCTAAACCCGAAACCCTTAACCCTAAACCCTAGACCCCTAAACCCGAAACCATTAACCCTAAAGGCTAGACCTTAAACCCGAAACCGAACAAGGTGGGCATCGGGCCCTTAAGCCTCAAACCAAGGATGCCGGGATCCGATCTGGCAGGGACAGGTTTTGTGTTTAGGGCTTAGGAATTAGGGCTTCGGGCTTTATGGTTTAGGGTTTTGGGCTTAGGGCTTTAGACAATAGGCTTTAGGGCTTTAGGGTTTTAGGGCTTTCGGGTTTTAGGGTTTAGGTACTCTGAGCTTGTCATGGAGGAATGCGGTGAACGAGGGTTGCTCTAAAGGGGCCTTTACAGGAGGAAACATTGGAAATGCATTGCCTGATAACGAGGTCCGAACTAAAAGGACGGAGAATCTACCTTCTGGCTCTTTCCGGGCTTATCATCAGCGAGAAAAGGAAAACGGCATACTACGGGACAGCGCAGCTGCCAAAACATCATGGCACAGGAGAAGTTGCCCGTAGAGTTCCACTCAGACCAGTTAGTAGCATTGGAGGCGTTCTCAGTTTCATTGGTCTCGTTTCCAGCGCGGCTGACCCAGACGCAAGCGCCATCGTCCAGTCGTCGGTACTCCCAGCGGATACGGATCACCCCAGGATCCGCGGGTGCCACGGGCTCAGGTGGTAGTGTCTCTATCCATGTCTCGTTGCCCTCCTCGCGCACGATGGTGTCCACCCGACCACTTCGCCGGATGCTGTCCACACAATAGGCCGCAGTTTCGGTGGGGTAGACCTGCACCGCCATCTCTGCCTCTTCGGATGGCAGGAACTCAAGCTCTGAGAGCATGACAGGGACGATTTGGGGCAGCGGCTCCTCCACATTGAGGACCTTGGCCGGCCGACCAGGAATCTTTTCAGAACGAAAGCCCTAAACCTTAAAGGAAACGAACTAACTTGCAAAAGGCCAAACGGCAGTTAGCACTGCCGTCGCTTCGTCCTGCTCGCCGTGCCAGTTGGTGATCGTACTCACGACTTCCAGCACCATTTCCGACCAGTTGGACCCGTTGGCCTGCACTGAGTTTTAGGGTTTAGGGTAGGGTTTAGGGCTTAAAGCTTCGCCACTCATCGATCACTGTTAAGAATGTTGCTTGGATATCTTCCATCAGTTTATCCTCTGGCAGGTTTATATTATGCCTGCTCACCATGGGGATCGCCGATAATCAACTCGGGCTACCGTCTAGTATTCGGTGCAAGTTCGATGGACTTAGTGACCTTGTATGCGGGTCATAAGTTACAAGTGAACCATAAGCAAATGAACCTTATACCTGCAATAACCCCACTTGGGGGATACCTGTCCGAGTCCAGGGCGACCATTGCTTAGGGTCATGACCCCCAAATCCCCCACGCCACCCTTTGTGGTCTTTGGGCTCAACCCTAAACCCCTAAAGCCCCTAAAAGCCCCTAAAAGCCCCTAAAAGCCCCTAAAGCCCCTAAAGCCCTCAAACCCTAAGCCTCAAACCCCAAACATCCCCAAACCCTAAGCCCTGGTTCTTTGCACTCTCCCGGAAAGAAGAGCCTGCACCTCCGACACGGCCGCAAAGAGAGTCTCCGGAGGTATCTCCAAGACCTGGCAGGGGTTTAGGGTTTATTGTTTAGGTTTCCCTCTAACCCTGAACCCTGGACACAATAAACCCTACAAGCCCGAAGCCCTAAAGCCCTAAAGCATCCTAAAGCCCTAAACCCTTTAACGCCTAAAGCCCTAAAGCCCTAAAACCCTACTAAAGCCCTTAAAGCCCTAACTTGGGGCGCCCGGGCTCTCAGGGACCTGCTCGGCGTAGTCGCTGGCCTCGGCCAGCGCCGGCTGAAGCAGCGACCCGAGGTCCTCCGGGCTCTTGTGTCTTTTTTGGGGCTTTGGGTTTAGGGTTTAGGGTTTAGGGTTTAGGGTTTAGGGTTTACGGTTTAGGGTTTTAATGTAAGCTCTTTTTTTTTAAGGAATTTAATGCAAGTTCCTTTTTGCTTTAAGGAATTTAATGGTAAGTTGCCAGAATAGGGTTTAGATTTTTTTGGGTATTGGGAATGAAGCCCACGCCACCATGTTTGGGTTTGATGGCTTGAGGGGTTAGGGAATTTTAATTCAAGTTGCCATCATGGGGTTAGGGCTTGGGAATTTAAGTTTCCATACGAGGGAACTATCGCAAATAAGATGTTGTCCTTATCATGGTAACTTAAAAACCCTAAACCCTACACCCTAAACCCTGAACCCAGTCCTTCCACAAGGAATTGGGGCTTTTGGCTTTAGGGCTTTGGGTTTAGGGTGGGGCTTGGGGTTTAAAACGCGCAAAAAAGCAGGGCCTAGGGTTTAGAGGGTTTAGGGTTTAGGGTCTATCGCAGCATTTTGTCTGCCTTGTCTGCCCGGCAGTGTTCTGCGCTAAACCGTAAACCAACAATCCCAAACCCTAAACCCGAAACCCTACTGGGATCCGGTTTCAAGCGGGCTCATGGTGCACATGTGCGGATGTCAAGGCTCATGAGGCTTTTGGGCTTCCAAAACCACTGTCAGATGTCATAGATTCAGATCAGCACTTGGGACGTTCAGAGGAGCCCTGTACAGATGCTGAAGAGCAGGATATCTTACTCCAAGGCCTCGAATGTAAAGAAACATATCTGAGGGTTGCCGGAAAAAGCGATCAGGGGGTTCGCCCGCATGATACTCAAAAGATTGGCTGTTGGGGCTAGGAGATAGGGTTTGGGGGTTGGGGTCACGAGTGCTCCCAGCCCGTAATCTTCACGAACCGGAATTGGTCTCTTCCCACGTCTTGTGAGCTTCTCCGGGTCGAAGTTTAAGCTTCTGGTTTAAGGATGCAGGGACGAAGCTCAATTTAGGAGCCTTTCAACCCTAAAATCGAAGTGCTTCTCCTCGTGGGTGCCATTGCCGAAATGCCAAGAGACGCTGGGAGCACCTTGCACATTAGATTGGCTGAGGACTTGGCTACGAAACGTGTCAATCGCCAAGTGGCGTCCAGCAAAACCCGTGGACAGCGCTGTAGAGAATCGCAGCCGGGCACAGACTGGAGAAATGTCCGGGGCGACGAGCACGGCATGGACCTAAGGTTTTGTCGCGGCATGAAGAAAAATTATCACTGAACCCCTAAACCCTGAACCCCAATCAAACCAAACCAGGTTTTTCCAGAGGCCGCCGGTGAACCCAGTAACAACCCAGCAACAACACTCACCCAAAGCCCTCCAGCACCCGACATATCGCGTATCCCTAAACCCCAAACCCTCAACCCTAAACCCCAAAAACCCTAAACCCTCAACCCTAAACCCCAAAAACCCTAAACCCTCAACCCTAAACCCTAAACCCTAAAAACCCTAAACCCTCAAACCTAACACCCTAAACTCTGAACCCTAAACTCTCCACCCAACTCCTCACAACCCAGGGCCGGCAATCTAAAGCCCGAAACCCTAAGGCCCGAAAGCCTACACCCTCAACCCAACTCCTCACGCCTAAACCCTATACCTCTACCTCAAAAGCATAACCCACGCCCCCCACCCCCTACCGCCCCCCCCTCCCCCACCCTAAACCCTAAACCAAAAAAATAAAAAATGGAAGGAAGCCTTAAGCCCCCTAACAGTCCTTTCTGAGAGGGGACTGTTGTGTGGGATGA